TGCCAAGTACTGTATTGGTAGCAACAGGAATGAAGATAGAACATGATATTTAAAAACCATTGATTTTTTAATTTAATTTTTATTTCTTTTAAAAAGAAAATAAGAAATTAATTATTTAAAAAAATTTAATCAGTTACATTTTGTTTCAATTACTTATTGCTATTTTCAACAGGTTCAACTCCATCAGAAATAATAGCATCTCCAACATTTTGTGTTGGATCTGGTGTTTCTGTTGATTTGTTTGGAGTATCTTCAATTGGCACTGATGTTTGATCATTAATTGTGCCTTTTTCATCTCTAAGAACTTTTAGAATACTTGTTCTATAAATATCACTACCATCTAAACTTGTTGAAGTTCTTACAGTATCCATAGACGATCTACCAACATCTGCAGAAGATCTAGACATTTCATCAAGTTCAATTGTAACTTTAGATGGTGATTGAACACGATTGAAACCAAAGATCTTTGTTGTACGTTTATAAACACTGGCAACAATAGAAATAATTAAAATTCCACAACAACACATAAAGATATTAAGAAAGTGTAACCAAGTTTTACCAAATGCAGAACATAATAACCCACAAATAAAAGGTGATAATGAATAAGTCATTTCACCAATAAATTCACTAATACCTAAAAATTTACCATGATTATGTGAAACTGTAATTGAATAATATAAATTGGCTTGTAATTCATATCCTGCAACTATTCCCATTGGAACAGAAAATATCATTACTATCCATCCATTAGGACTAAATAAAAGACCAAGAGCAACAACTAACATTGTACAAAGAGCAAGAAGATTAAATCTTTGTTTATATTGCCAATAACTCCATCTTCCAAGAACAATGAAAGTAATAGTTTGTACAACATTTTCAACAAATAAAAATACACCAACAAATACTGAAGCTTCTTCAGAAATACCATTAAGATGAATATGATGATCATCAGCATAATCTACATATTGATTACTAATAATAGCAATTACACCATAAAGGAATAAATGCACTACAATAGAAGAATAATAAAAAGTTTTTGGATGACTTCTAGTCTTAACAGTATTTTGAAATACTTTCTTTGGATTTGTTTCATCATTTTTATATCTTGGTTTTCTTGGGAAAATAATAAAAATAAATAATGGTAATACTGCAGCAACATATAATGAGTAAGATGCACCTAAAATACTAATAGCACTTCCACCTAATAAAAATCCAACAGCTTTACCAAAAGCACTTAACATAGCGAAATTTGATATATTTTTATTTTCTTCACCAATATATGACTCTGCTCCAATTAAAGTTTCATCTGGTGACCAAAACGCTGCTAAACCAATTCCTTGTATTATTAAAAATATAAATAAAACACTTGTTCCAGTATTATTAACATAATAAATAGCAGTAAAAATACAACTTAATGCTTGTAAAATACAAGCTAATTCACATAATATTTCACCTCTCCATTTATCAGTTAATATTCCCATTACTGGAGCTAATACTCCAGCAAGACAAAATGTTACTGCATCTGCTGCTCCAATAAGTATTGGACCAGCTTGAAGTTTTTTTAATAAAACGGGAAGAACAAGCCAATAAAAATAAACACTAAAATCGAACATCATTCCAGTAATACAATATAAAGGCATATTAGCCTTTTTATACAAACTCTTTAAGCTAACCATATCCACTAATTATTAGATAAGTTCTTATTTTCTTTAAATTGAATTAAAATTCTTTTCCATTATTCAGTTACATTTTTGTGGGGATGTACTTTTTAAATTTTTTCTTTGAAGACGAGGTATTTTTCCCATTTTTGGGCATACATTTTTGTTTATTTTTATTTTTTTCTTTTAGAAGTTTTAGTAATATTCTTACTTTTTGATGGTTTCAAATGGTTTGCTTTGGGTCGATTGAATTAATTAGAAATAGTAAAATATTTGTTACTTTAGTCAATATTATTTTGCTTTATCCGTTTATAAAAAATAAAAAGTGAAGAATAATATTATAACTAAACTTTTGAAGATTAAAACTTTCTTCTAGAAACTAAGAAAATATAGGTTTGTTGTTGTCGAACAGAAATAATATAATTCACCATCAGTTATTTAATTTAGGTTACCGTAATCACCAAAATGTTTTCTTTCATCATTTTGACGTTCTTTCTTTCTTTTAATTACTGCATACACGATAATGGTTCCCATTACAAGGGTGCAGAAAATAACAATTACTGCAGTAATTATTCCAAACCACATCCACATCTCCCATTCTTTTTGTTCTGCTTTTGCATCTCCAATTTTTGTTATATTTAGTAAAAATGAACGGTCATTAACTGAAGGGACAATAAATCCTGCATAAATCTTAAGTGGAGAAGATGGATGAATATCAACTGAAACTCGTGCACCTAATCCACTAGCACATTGTAAATCTTCAGTAGAATAACTATCAGCTAATTTAAGACATTTACCACCATTTTCATAGATGACATGAATAGCATTTAATCCATCTGAATATCCACATGTATTAATTTCAAGCACTAAGTCTTCATCTATGTCTACTGTATATACATCACCATATATACCTTGTGACTCTTGGTCTTTATCTAAACTTGAACAAGAGTCTTTAGTTTCATTAATATAATGTGGAATAGTAATATACCTAAAGAAAGGAAGATCTTTTATAGTGACTGTAGTACCATCAGCATCTTGTTCTGGTACATAGTCAAGATTAATATTAATTAATTCAGTAGTTAATTCAGTTGAATAAACAACTAATTTGTATTGGACATTTGTTTCTATTTTGATAGGAATACCAAGAATGACCTTATTGCATGTGTGGTTATTTGCATCTTCAAGGAAAATTGAAAATGTTACATTATTAGTATTTGATGAAACAAGAAGAGAATGGTTTTTAATTGAGTCAAATATAAATGCAGAAGTATAAATACTTGTTAATTTCATTGAAGTGCATTGAGTTTTCTCAGTAATTGTTGTACTTAATTGTGTAGATAGTTGTATTGGAATATCAATAAGTTGTGGATCAGAATAAGGGTTTGCAAGTACAGCACAAATACACAAAAGAAGTATTTGAATATTCATTTCTTTTAATAAATATTTTTAAGTGCTTTTTATTTAGAGATGTAACTTCTTCTTTTTTCCTAGTCATACTTGATAATTCAGACTCTTATTTCTTATAATATTTTTTATTGTCTACACCTCAATAAACGTCCCATAGACAGGTATGAAAATAAAAATTTTCCAAAAAAATAATTTTTATGAACTTTCTTCTTCTTTATTCTTTAAATTTTGTTGAAACCCTCTTTGGATTTTTGAATAATTTTAAGTGATAAATTAAAAAAATACTAAATAAACTTGTGGAAAAATAATTAGTTTCTTTACTTCTGGTTTAAAGAAGAATATTAATTGAATAAATAATAGTATAAGTCAACATTGTTCTGAATTATAATGAAATAAAATATCTTTTTATTGTTATTTTAATAATACTTTTTCTGGCTTTTCATTTCAAGTAATAACTTGTAAGTAATTTATTCTCAAAAACTATATCTTTTTATTATTATTATCCCAAAAACGAATAACTTCATTCTATTTTAGTAGGTTTTGGTTGTTTTGTTTTACTTAAAAATAATTTACTTTATATTAATATAATAAAAAAGTTAATAATATTTTTTACTATAAATATTCTTTGTTTCTCATAAAGAATATTACAAAAGAATTTTTTGAATAAATTTATACATTAATTGAGTTGTCATAAACCATAAAGGAGAGAGAGACATAATTTTTTTGATTTATTAATAAAGCTAATATTTAATTATTATACAATTTAAAAAAAAACATTAATTGAGTTTGTACTAAAAATAATGTTATATGAGTTTTTCTTTCTAGACATTAAATTTTAATACATGAATCTATGAAAAATGAACCTGAGACATTTTCATTACTCTTTTTTTTTTATTAAGCAATTTGAAGAACTAAATGTATTATGAAACATATATATATTAATTTTTAATGATGTAGTTATTTTCTTTAAGTGAAATAAAAAAAAGGTATTTGTTATATTCATAATTTGAATAATGAATTATTTTAAATTGAATTAGGTTTAATATTTCAAATCCACAGTCAGAGTACAAAAAAAGAATAAATTTATTATATATTTTGTTTCAGAGAAGATTTAGTTTCGTATATTTTGAGTAAGTCAATTGGAAGTTATTTATAAAACAAATAATCTGTTGAGATAAACTTTGTTTTTGTTAAGATGAAATGGATAATTATTTGAATAAAAACTCACATAGAAAGTATGTCATCACCAAAACATAATTTTGTTCCTTTTTATTTAATCCTCAAAAAGTGAAGTCTTATTTCAGAATTGATTAAATAAATAATGAAAAAAATAGAGAGAATAATAACCATTAAATAAGAATTATAAAAAGAAGGAGATGATGGTTTATTCTATGAGTAAGTTATACTCAATGAAAACTAAACAAAAACCATAAAAATAAAATTAATTTATGTTTTTTAAATAAAATTAAAATTTCATAGAATTTGGCAACAAGCAATTATTTTAAAGATTTTTGATGGTAAGAAATGTTTAAAATAATAAATGAAATCAAACAAAAATCAAAGGGGAATAAATAAAAGACAAAATCATCCGAATGGTTCTTTTCTTTTTAAAAAATAAAAAATGACGAATTAAAAGAATAAAAATCCGACAAAACAAATGGGGGTTAACCAAAAAAGAATAAATCAAGCCTGATTCTAATATCTATTTAAGATTGTTCCATAATTATCTTTGTTTGGAATGGAAAGCGAAAGACAAACAACCCCTTTCTATTATTACAAGTTTTTATTGTAGTTTTTAGCATTTTTAGAAAAAAATTCAAGTCATTACTACTCTTTCACTCTTTGGATAAATTCAATTTAAAAAGTGATTAAAGAAGAATATTCTTTGTTAGGGGTATTTAATGATTTAGTTCAGTTCTATTTATTCAATTACTTATGGATTCAAATAGATACTTCAATTTACCAGAGCCTCATACTCAAGAATTTATTAATCAAGTATACAACATTTATGAATTTCAAAAAAAAATATTAGAAAGTCTTGATTCTAAAAATCATAATAACTATACAAGAGTAGAGAATTCTCCTATTATGTCAGATAAAGACAATGAAATGACCCCTTATATTTGTTCAACTAAAACAGAAATTAAACCACAAAAAACAAAACGTTATTGGACTAAAGAAGAATGTTTATCTTTTGAAAAAATAATTAAATTTTTAAATATAAACTGTGGACAAGCACTTGATTTTCGTTTGATCTCTATGTACGTTAAGACAAGAACACCTACTCAAGTTAGAAGTCATGCACAAAAGTATTTTTTAAAAGAAGTTTGGTATTTTATTTTTATAAAGAATGTTACATTTATTAATGTTATTTTTTAGAGAGAAAATAATTCTGTTTTAACATCAAATGATCTTATAGAACTTAATACACTTGTTACAAATTATAAAATAATGAACAAACATGGAAATCAACATCATCTTCTTGTAAAATAATTAACTCTTTTTTCTTACGTTAAGTAATAACATAATTAAAAAAATTTGTTTTGTATTAATAACAAAAATTTTCTTTATCTTGAATAATTTAATTTGTTTTTATATTAATAAATAGAATATAACTTTTTTTTTCTTTCATTTTATGGAGTTTTTTGTTCAAAAATATGTTTTTATCTTCTTAACTTCCATAAATTAATAAAATTCTTTATATTTTAGCTACTTTAAAAGAAAAATAACTCTTAGTTATTAAATTCTATTTTTTTCAACAAAGATGTATAATTTTTTTAAGTTGAAACTCAAACTGATTATTCTTTAATATTTGAAGTAACTTCTTTGTTGATTTAAAAATACAAATTCAACAACTAAATTCATAAAAACATATCAAATTTAAAATTTATTTTCAAAAAAAAAAATAATAATTATTAATACTTTTGAATTTGAAAATAGATAATTAATATCTATTAAATTATATAAGTTTTTAATTACAAATCTATTTGCTTATTATTTTGAATTTAATTTTATATTTTCTCATGTTATAATTATATTATTTTTTATTTATTTTTTAATAACGAAAAATGATTATTACTCTTTGTTTTGTTTTTTTATTTAATTTCATTACAATTCAATTATTCTAATACTTTGATTTGTTATTTTTGATAAACATTTATTTTTACAATTAATTGAATGAAGGTATTATGTTTCTTTTACAAGAATCAATAAATAATTTCACAGTTTTATAAGAACAATAACAATATTATTTATAATGTTTTTATCTAATTAATAAATATGAATTTTAATGTAATTTGATGAATATTTTTTATTTAAAAAAAAAAGAAAAAATAAACCAATTTAATTTAAATAAAAATAATATTATATAATACTAAATATAGAACCCTGGAAGTATTTAAACAAGAAAATTAAAAGTCAAAAGTATCATACATGGTGCTCCAGCTAGGCTAAACTCTTTTAGTTGTAGACCTCGTTTAAGATCACCTAGAGTAAAAGATATTATGAAAAAAAAAAGAAGACATTATTCAATTAATAATGTTTTAAATTCATAATAAATAAATATAAAAGAATTAATTTGATAATTAAATGGTATCTTTTAAGTTATTATCAATAAATAAAAATTGTTGGTTTTCAGTATTTTCAGTCTTTTTTAACCAACAAATAATTTTATTTAAACCTTTAGTATTCTTTCTTGAAACATCCATTCTCAAATTACAATGAGCACAATTAATATAAAAAGATCCATTTCCTACTGGTTCTAATTCCCAATGATTTTCTTCAAGACTTTCAATTCCATTTGTTTGAGTTACTTTTGTTCCAGGTTTAGTTTTATTATGTTTTCTACCAAGATATTTTTGTGAATAATTACATTGTAAAACTATACAACGTTCATGTCCAGGTATTTCTAATTGTTTTATCTTAAATAACTGATTTTTTTGTTGGTTTGAATAAAATAAACTTATTGGACTTCTATCTTTTATAGACTCACCATTTACATCAATTCTCATAGTTGGAGCACAAACAGGTTGAATTTGATATATAGTATTATTAAGAATAGTACCATATAATACTTTTCTGTCATTTTCTATTTTCCATTTTGTTTGAACTTTATTTTCTAATTCTTCTAATTCTATTTCTAATTCTATTACTTCATTGGATTCATTAAAATTGGATGTTTCTTCTGGAATTCCTTTTAATTTTGTTTCAATTATTTGGTATTGTTCATTAAATCCTTCTAATTCTTTTATAAAATGTGTTTCACTTTCTATAGAGTTTATTGTTTGTAACTTTTTAATAACTAATGATATATTTTTTAATGTATTTATTAAATACTTGCGCTTCTCTTTTTCAGTTATTTCATCCCTTTTTTCTTCTTCTTGAAGAATAAGTGATTCTTCGTTCATTATTTTTATGCTTTTCAGTTCTTAAAAACAAAAAATTTAAAATTATTTTATGTTTTACATACAAAAAAGAAAAGCCAAAAAAAAAATATAAAACTCAAAATTATAAATTCATTTTCAAGATGATTTTATTCTACACTGTTGTTACACTATGTTTTGCTATTCAAAATAATAATGACTTACGCCAAATTCTACAAAGATCAGATTTTGTTATTAATTCTGCAGATAAGTTCATTGATGACTTTAGAAATACATTGAAAAAATCAACTATTGCAACTGAAATGTTTATTCAAAAAGAACCACCAAAATTACATAAGAAAGAACAGATTAAAAGAATTCATTCTATTCAAAAGAGTCCTACAAATAGAAAGTATATTAAATCAACTCAACCTCTCATTACATCTCATGAACCAATGAAAATAACTTCATTAAATCAAAGAATTACTGAGTTTCCTTATTTCACACCTATGTTAAATGTTAATGAATTTACTCAAACAAAAGATAAATGTAATCCTCATGCTCCTTCTTATGGGTATTATATCCCTATTGTTATTCCTCCAAAGAAAATGTTAAGAGTATCAACTTGTAACAAAGACACAACTGTTTTTACCCCAATATCTGTTACTTATAATGAACAATGTCTTCAAGTAATTCAAAGAAAATGTAGGTTATGGAATGGAAATATTATTGAATATTTACCAAAAGGTAATAAAGGAATGGAGGCAATTGTACGTGTAGGAGCTTCAAATGTCAAGAATGCTACAGTAAGAATAACTGTTTATACAGTCCCAATAACAGAAAAAAATAAATTAAAGTTAGAACAAGGTCATGTCATGAGAGGTAATGTTCAACAATCAACAGTAAAAGTAACAACTAAAGATGGAGATATTGTCCCAAGAATTGATTTCAAAAATAATACTCAAACTACTCATACTTCTGATAATATTATATCTCAACCAAATCACACTATTCAATTACTAGAAAAAGATTTTCATAAAATGGGTGGTTGGTTTAAGGTATGTATTGCTATTTTGATTTCTATTCTTGTATTAACAGTAGGTGTAATTATTTTTGGTTCATTCCGTGAATCACAACTTCCTGAACAATATTCTCCATTTTAATTCTATTTTTTTTTTTTGTTTCATAATTTAAAAAACAAAAAAGTAAAAAAAAATTATGTTTTTATTACAATAATGGAAATAAACAATAAAAAAGAATAATCAAAAAAAAGTCATCACTCTCAACTGAAAATTGTCAAAAGAAATGAATTTATCAGGAGTGTATGGATTAAAAGAAAAACAAAAAGAAGTCCTTATTAATGTCCTTGAAAGAAAAATTAGACAAGCAGAATCTACAGAAAGTAAATGGAAATTATTAGTTTTTGATAAATTTTGCTCTGAATTAATTGAAAGTCATTTAGTTGTTTCAGACCTTAGAAAGAATGGAGTTACAATGATTTTAAATATTGAAAATCAAAGACAAAAAATAGATGATGTTGAAGCGATTTATATTATTCAACCAACAAAAAAGAACATTGAAATTATTTGTCAAGATATTCAAAATGAACTTTATGAATCATTTAGTTTATGTTTTAGTAACGAATTAAGTCAAAAACAAATGAAATATTTAGCAAAAGAAGTAGTTCAATTAGAAAAGATATACAAAATTAAAGATGTTATTAATGGATGTTTTAATTTCCAAATACCTGAATACAATTTAATTAATTTTAGCATGGAACACTCATATTCCCTTTTTAATAATCCAACAATTTCTGATGAAATGGGAATGAAATTAATAAATTATATTGTTGATAGTTTATTTACTATTATTTATACTATGAAAGAAATTCCTATCATTCGAACAAGGACTTCTTCAACTGAACAAGTTATTGGTGAAAAATTAGTTAAAAAAATTCGAGATTTTATGAAAAAAGAAGAACATTATTTCATCGAAAAAAAAGAACGAACTTTATTTATTATTTCTAATAGAAATTATGATTTATCACAAGGATTAATGCATGGATGGAGTTATCAAAGTTTAATAAAAGAAACACAAAAAATGAATGGAATGAAAGTTGATTTAAATAATACTACTGAATATATTGATAGTGATGGAGACATTTGGACACAATGTAAAGAAGGAATTATTTCAGATGTTGCTGATACAATTATTGAAAAGACAAAACAATTAGAACAAGTTAAATATATGATACAACAAGAAAATAATAGACTATTTAATAATGGAAATATACAAATTAATGAAGGATTATATACAATGAGTAAAAAATTAGAACATGAAATTGATTTACATACAACAATTGCACAAGCAGTCTTAAAAAGTATTCAAGAAAGGTCAATTGATTTACTATTTTCGTATGAAGATAATATCATGTCACATATTAAAATTGAAAAGACGGCATTACTTGAATTAATAAAAAAACTTGATAATAAAGATGATATTATCAGATTGTACTATGTCTGTTTATTAAATAATTTCCCTGTTGATGAAATAAACCAATTAATGAATGAAAAACAAATTGATTTAAAAGAATTAAAATGTATTGAACATT